TCCGCAATGACTAACTGGTGAATTCTCATTGCTTAAAACGGGTACTTGAAAAGAAAACACCGAATGGAATAGGTCTGCCTCAGACCCATTAAAATCACATCAATGTGAACTGCACGAGGTGTGAAACAATGTCGTATTTACTGATGGGTTTATCAGATAGCTGTTCAACCAAGTCGGGTTAGGAGGAGAATGAACATGGTGATGTCGATGATCACGACGACGAAAACGACTCGGATTATGATGATCATTGGGATCGTGATGAGAATGATGATAGCTCGAATTCTGATGATGATGATGATGATTCGGATTATTATTATTATTATTATCAGCGGGCTCGCTTAGAGAGAAGTTAAAAGTGTGATCAGTATATATCGTATATGCTATATACATATTACATATATACTTGCGATTGTGGTTCCAGTGTGAATCTACAAATAATTTCTGCAAAATTTGAGAGGATGAAGTAGCCAGTTTGTTGGAGGGAACTCGTGAATCCTTTGTTAATTTGGAATCAACGGAGTAGCAGACAACACATCACAGTGTTGGTGTGAATCGGAATATTCCGGAGAGGTCGCTGTTTCTCAACACTACACATTAAAGTGAAACGAGGAAAGTGTACAAAAAACCCACTTTTACAAATGTACCCTATCCATAGTCGTACATACAAAGAGTAAATGACATGTGAACTGAACCGTTCAGAAGCCCCGTACAGCTGTTTCGTTCGACCCTGTTGGGACTCTTATCAGTACTACAAAGTCATCCGACGGTCACGTGAAACTACCAGTCAACCGATCTGATTGTGCTACTTTTCCAGTAACCAACCTCGTTCAGGAAACCGCCCATCAACATTTTTTTCATCAGTGAGAAATTGGTATCCACAATCGATGAATGAATCCCACATCCAAAACACCCAAACAAACCAGGTTAACAGAAGCCTCGTTTGTTTGAGCACTCACTTCCAGACTGAACCAGTTCTACTCTGCGTCTGCTCACTATTTGTTCATACGACTCTGCTCAAAGCGAGTTCCATCTCAATTCTAGACAAATTGATTCGACGATTGGGACGAAATTCTATAATTTCTACCACTGTAATCGTTTTTTCGTTGTTGTTAAAGCCTCTCTGCTCTTCGTTCGTTAGCGTCTGAAGGTACCCAGTTCAATTTCGGACAAATCATCAACGATTTGAGTAGTGAACTTCCAACAATATGGTCCAAACAAACAGTGTGCAGTATTTGTTCCCGTGAAATCTATATAAGATCTGTCAGGAGTTTTAAGAAATCACGGCAACGACATGGTGTCCATTTTTTCTATTCAGCTGGACAGCTGCTGTTTACTATAGTACAGCTTATCTGTGAACGAATAAATACCCTGTCATGACTGGACAGACGTTCACAATCTGATATAACGTGTTCGGTAAGAAAATCGATCTGAAAATGAAATCGGAATAGGTCTCGCATGTAAAGCGATGCATTGGCATCACATCACTGGTTTTAAATGAAAGATACAGGGAGAATCAGTTTCCAGGTATCAACTAAACTGAGCACTTTTACCTGTCCCATCTCGTGAACGGGTTTAAACCTATTTCTGTCGGAAATCGACCAAGACTGTCAAAATCAGACATTTCTATCCAACTATTCGTATCTTTGTTTTCCCCTCAAGTCTCGTTTTTCGCTCCGATGAGATGAGGCGTTCTGTCTATGAGTATACACACATTTCAAGTAAAAATGATAGTTTGAGGCGAGGGCTCGGGTTTTTCAATCGAGCACGTTTTAGCCAGCCAGTTAGTTGCTGGCGTTCTGAAGAGAAGAATCCGCTCAGTTCGATTCGATCACTCCCAACGGAACGGTTTTACATGGTTTCAAAATTTTGTTCGTTGTGTCCAACTCAGACAGCCGGGAAACAACGATTGTGTTTCGTCGAATGTCGAAACTTGATCTGTTGGCCTATCACTCGCTTTTCATGGGTTTTCTGGGATTATCTGTGAACAACACAAGTCTCACCGAGTCCATGATTTAATTGAATCTCAGGCACATTTTGAGTGTATTATGTTCTTCCGATGTGATGCAAAATTGATTGGAGAAAATTATCATCATCATCATCAAATTGGTTGTTTTCCCGCCGAACCGCCAAACAGTCAATCAGTGGAAAAGATCTAACGACGGCTCGGTACGACAGAACGTGAAATGTGTTCAGTGCACTCCTGTTTCTTTGTTTACAATTTTTCACAAATCCGTAGGACTGGGATTTTCCTAGTGTATTTATTGTATTAATATAACTTGTGTACGCTTATTCGTACACATGCTTACATTTGGCAGTTACAAATGCACATCGAATAAAGTATACTATTTCATATAAAATTCAGCTTGAAGGATATCGCTAAAGTTTGTTTTATGTAAACAAATTCTGACATAATTCACTAGCGACCTGTGCCCTATTGGTTAAGATTTGGGCCAAGTATGGTACAGGGGAATTCCTATAAATGTGAATACGAGAAGATAGAAGGCCGAAAAGAGGAGCATGTGGAAGGATGGGCATGAAAAGCTGAGAGATCACAGTAGAATAGATGAAGTGGTTCGTCGTCACTAGAGTCGATGTGACCAATAATATGTTTTGTGATTAGTGAATCAACTGAGATCAACGATATACGATGATCGATTATCAGCACGCTACAATGAATGGTTTTTAGGTCTTGTTTTAAGTGGCCGGGAGACACCACTAGAAGGGGACGAACAGAGCGAAATTGGAAAAATCCATCGGTGAACGAAAGAGACCTGAACTGACTGCGAGGAGAGAGGTGCTTCGGAATTGCTCGAGTTTCCGGAGTTAAAAGGACAGGCGTCTCAGTTTCAGTTGGTGAATCACATTAAATGTGTTTTCCACTCGTCCAATCACTTTCTACATCTCCCATACAGGTTTGGACTGTGACTCAGTAGGACCAAATTGTTCCCCAATCATGCACCTTCCTTAGGGCACTCATGAAAATGTGCCTACCTTGGTGTATTCAGTCAAGCATTATACGGCCAGTGTGTGGTGTGTGCGGAGCTCTATACTTTACTTTATGGCCGCTACCCACGCTTGGTAATCTGCGACAAGATCAGCGCAGATTGTGATCCAGCTTGACTTCCATTGGTGAATGCCGTAGACGGAGCGGAGACCAAGGTTTTCAGTATTCTTTCGTACCGAGTCAAGGCAGATTTTCAGCTGCCCACTGAGAACACCAGTTCGGGCGAGGAGGCGGTGTCAAGACAGCTTTCGTCAGGTCGTTATCAGACTTACGAAGAATGTGACCAGATAATTGTAGTCACCGCCGTTGTGTTAGCGTTACGAGGTTACGAGATAGAAATACCCTAAGTAGCTGAACGACATATCGTTCATCGAGTCGATTGTTCAAAACATGATATCGGATGGAGAAATCGATGCAATAAAGTTATGACTAATGAGCTTGATGGACCATAGTGCATTTCTTGAACAATATGTTGAAGGACAAATGTTACTTCAGACACCAAGCCTTCGACGGACTATCTTTGCGGACGATAGATCATAGGCAGCGGTTCTCTCTCTCTCTCTCTCTCTCTCGAGAGAGAGTAGTTGGTAGCCCACTTGAATATTGAACAACTATTTTCTTTCTGCGATCCTGGAAAATCGGCAGGGGCCGTTCTTGTCCATCATCATACCGCCCCCCCCTCCCCAAACCCGGTATTGTTGTATTCTCGTTTGATTGACCCGCTCACATTTTTAATTAGAAGCAGAGACTAGACCATGAAACGGAAGATGTGCGTGATGCTATGAAATAAACAAACAAGCTATATTATCCTCACTGATCCTGCTCGAGAAGCTACCTTGGGAAAGATTGTGCGCGAACCGGATGCTCTGAAAGCATTTCACACACTGCAATAAGAAATGTGCTTAAAGCTGTTGCACGTGTCTCGGTACCGTCACATGGATTATGTCAGGCCGAATAAAAATTCCCAAGGTTTCTGTCCAGTGAGCGGAAGATGTTGGTAACTGGAATTCAGCTCAAACGCAAAGCGAATAAGCTTTTTAGGCGGCGTGTCGCACAATGCGACGGTCGACCGAACATCAGGTTTTCGTTTGTCTCTCGTAGATGGACGGACAGACCGTCAATTCAACAGGCATAGTAGCCTCGAAGGTTGGAATTTGGTTTTAATAAAAGAACAGATATTCACTACCAGGACATCTTACGCTGTGGTACGGCCAAAATCTCCCATATTAAACATAAGTGCTCTTTCGCAACATTTTGTACCCTTGAATATATCGCAATTGGTAGCATGTGGACGGATGAAAGCAAATAGAATGACATATTGATTATCGTAAGAAATAAGAAATGACCTTGTGAGAAAGATATATACAACCCAGTTTGCGTTAGCTGATAACAACTGTAGATGAAGGAAAGATTCACTGGAAGATAAATAGATAGATGGGTAGATAGTTAAATAGATAGATAAATAGAAAGATAGATAGACAGCCAGATAAACATATATTCTATTTCAAGTTTGTTTTCAGATCGTTTCGAAGCAAAATCCCTCAACGTTGAGGTATGCAGGAGACACATCACATTATCGGGCACAAGAATAATGAAATTAAAAATAAAGTAACCAACGTTCTTTCAGCAGAAAAAAGGTATTGATTACCAGGGGAATAAACGATTCACCTCGAAGCAAGACCCTCGCACGAACTACAATGAACGAATCCGTCTGATTGAGAGTTTCTATGTCAGCACCACGAGGATAATTAAATATGTGACTATTTATTCAGCCTAAACCTTACAGTTTACGTATAATTCACTATAAAGTTTGAAGTTTTTATAGCTCTGATTGTGTACAAATTTTCAACGTGAATGCATGCCAACTGCTAAAGCAAAGTTGTGAATGGTGTCTCCATTAATTATCTCCCAGTGAAAGTTATTACATTTACAAAGCCTGTTCCCTGTTAGACAAGCATGACGAAAAGTCGTAAGCACGAATCTTTAAATTGGGATTCTTCTCCGCGTGTGTGTGTGCGTGTGTGTATGTGTTCATTGGAGTGAATTGGAAGCTGTTTGGCAAGAAGAATAGTTGCTGTTGTTTGCTTTTGATCAGACCACCTGCAACTCCGGATTGGCAAATTTGCGTACATCTGGTCGAACGAAACAATC